TATTTGTGTGTGTGTGTTTATATATATATATATATATATATATATATATATATATATATATATATATATATATATATATATATATATCAGCCCTCGGAATTAGGGGCGACATTCGGCAATGCCAACACCGTTTCAATGTCTTATGGTAACACCTTAGTATCATTTTTTTTTTTTTTTTTTTTTTTTTTGTTTACCTAAAGGTGCAACAAATTATTTTGAAGACTATTCTTGTGGTATGCAAGATGTTTTTTTTATTATTACTATTATTTTTTAAAAGATGAATTATTTTGATAATAATTTATTAAAAATATCTTATTAATATTGTAAGCTATACTAATTTTTATCTACCTTAGATTTTGTAAAAAGAAAAGAAGATATTGGTAAAGGATTTCTTTACATATACATTGCTTTTTTTTTTTAATAGACCTGTGAAATGTATTTTTATAAAAAAAATTTCAGGGAGAAAAGAGAAGGATTTACAAACAAAAGGTATGTAAATAAAATTTATGAAAATAAAATTTTAGATCAGACTGGTGCAAGTTGTGATTATATTATGCATATGGTGCAAATTTGATTATATTATATGAGAGTTGTTATATTTTGGGTAAGTGTATAAATAAAAACTTTATTAACATGTTTGAGTTTAGTAAAAAAAGTAGTAAACTAGTAAAAAAAATTGCAGAACTCATGTTTATGTTTATATAACCACTCTGTAATGAATTTTTTATTTTTTTTGTTAATCTGATCCCGACCTCTAACAGATTAAGGTTACATACATATATATTGTTTTAATATAAGTAATTTTTGAATCAACACAAAAATTTTATATAGCTTTTTTCTTTTTGCTTCGATTTGCTAGATTTGGGTATATTAAAAAAAGTTGGTAATGAAAATAAATATTTTCTTTTTTTACAATAATAATTTTATCTATTACATAAATGATTTATTGTTTTAAAATCTGTTTATTTATATATTTGTTTTTAGAAAACAAAGAACTGAAACTGGGTAAAAATTAAATATTTTAATAATAGTGTTTAAGTAATAGTTTTAGTAATGTTATTTTTGCAAATATGTCTTGAATAAAGTTTTTATTATTTCTTTTAGCACAACTGGAAGAAAGAATTAAACTATGTAAAGTTATATTTTTAAAATATTTGTATATATATATATATATATATATATATATATATATATATATATATATATATATGTATTTTTATTTATGTTATATATATACACTATATATGAAACCAAATACAAGATAACTCATTTGTTTTTTGTTTTTTTTTGTTTTTTGTCTATTTAGTGACGGAAAGAAAGGATTTAGGTATTTATTATTGTTACATGGTTTCCACTCAACCTTGCCATTATATGAATCATAGGGAACCTGTAAAACTTAGGGATTTTAATAAACTGGAAAGATTATGGAAATAGTCTAAGAAAACTTTCTTTAAATTATTTCAAAAAAATTTCAAAATTGTTATGGCAACCCTGTATAACTTTCTAAAATTAAATTAAGCATCTGTCAAATGATGTTAACTTTCATTTAAAATAATATATCAAATATATTTATTTTCAGACGATAAGATCTTGAAATTAGGTAAATTTTATTTTTTTAATATAAATTTTATAGTTGATTTTTAAATATTTAGAAAACCTTTAAAAAGTAACATGTTTTTGATTTATTGAAAGTTTTCACTTTTTTGTTTAGAAAAACAAGCCTCGCTCCTAGGTATTGTATTATATAGAAGTTTATCAATTGGAAATACATTGTGTAGCTTGAAAAATTTGCTAGATAAAATATAATTTCTTACTTTTCAAAGGGATAAAATTTTAATACTGTTATTATTAATTTAATTATTTTTTACAAATTTGCGATTCTTTGATTTATATTTTAGTTGATAAAACAGAAAAAAACAAGATGAAGCCGATTGTAAAGGTAAGTATATTACAATTTTGAATAGCCTTAACAATTGTTGTATGTTTGAACTTGTTTAATGTAAGTTATAGAAATGGTGATAGCTTAATCTAAGCTGATCTGTATTATTGAGGTGCCGCAGAACCATGCCCCCAGTTACAAAAGAAAAGAAAGGAACATATGGAAGTCGTCAAAGGTAACCTATGTTTTTTTGTTTAAGTCACAGAATTTAATGCCCTGACATGGACTGCAAAACAAAGTACAGTAGTATACCTGGGTTAACCCTGAAATTTTTCGAAGTACTTAAAATTTGATTTTGTAAATACAAATATTAACGCATGTCGAAGCGTTTTCTAAACTGTTTTTTTATATAGGAATAGTGGGTAGATATTCTTAAATAAAAACTAATATCTGCGTAGATTGTCTGCATCTGATTGGATAGAATAATGACATTTTAGAATCTTCGTGGAATGATTTTATGGCTTGGCGTCGGAGCCACCCTGGTCCGAAAACAACGCGGGCGTACCATTTTTGGATTAAAAATGATTGCAAAGACCTTCCAGGCTTTGTTTGGAAGAAACGAGGGAATGATTTTATAAAGAAAAAGGGGGACAGAACGATTATTAATAATTATTATTAATATTTAGTAGTAACAAATGAGTTTTTTTATCTATGTGTGGGGGACTCCATAGACTTATTATTATTATCTATTCTATTGAAGCAAAGATTGTTTAACCCTTGTTTATCTAGGTCTATATTACTAATTGTGTCGTATGTAATAGTGTATGCCAGGGCCGGAAATTCAGAATACTGCAATAAAATAAGCTCAAATTCGTTAAATTTAAAAAAAAATATCGCTATGTCGAAAACTCACATAACCCGTGTTAGTTGCATATCACACGTAATGTAAAATTTCTTTAACAAATTTGTTATGACCTAATGACTCTAAATGTAGTTTGCATTTATATATTTGCAATTTGTAGCAATTTTGTGAAAAAAAAGAGTGTAGGGGTGAAAAACCCAAGTGTTATTATATTTAATATTTATTACTATTTAAATTTTATGTTTTGGTACAACAAATATATAAAGGTAACTAAGCCTTATTTTTTTATATATGTATGGATAGGCGAGGCAGATTAATTAAAAAAAATTTCAAATGATTTTTAACATAACTTTAAAGTTTTTTAGAAGTTCTTAGGAAATAATAATAGTTTTTAAAAGAATTAGGTTTTTTCTAGTCCTACCACCTTAAACAATAATATCTTCTATTTACCATAACATGTTGGTCGATACTTTTTTCCAGTGAGCAAATCCAAGTTTCGCATTTCATTAATGAAATGTTTAGTTTTTGCGCACAACGAGACTGGAGATTTTGCACGCAACATTTTTAAGACCTCATCTAGCATTTGCGGTAGCATTCAGCACTATATCGTCAAAAAATGATTTTGATAAAATTAAGGACGTACAATGACACGATATCCATTTAAGACCTTACATAAACATCATAAAATAAAATTGGAATTTATCTAATATTTTGTCTGTTACTACTGGTAAAGTGGCTTTTTTAAAAAAACTAGTCAGGTTTTTCATTAATCAAAATATAACCCTTACATTATTCGTCTGATAAAAACATTTTATTTTACAAAAATAGATAATGGCTGAAGCCTTAAAAACCATTTTCTAACGAAAAGAAAAACTTTATATAAAGTTAAACAAAAGTATATAAAAGTTTATATAAAAGTAAACAAAAGCAAAAACTTTATATAAATTTTTTGAAATCAAAGGATGAAGGTGATGATTTTATATAGACATTGATATACGCCAAATAGCGCTATATGTATTTATATACATACATATATATATATATATATATATATATATATATATATATATATATATATATATATATATATATATATATATATATATATATATATATATGTATATATATATATATATATATATAATAGTTATTATACCAGAATTTATATTAAAGTTTGCATCAATACTATATTAATGTATAATTATTATATTAAAGTATTTTTTATCAATCTGATACGTAATAATTTTGTATATATATTTTCTTTTTATCACGAAAATAAAAGTATATTTTATATGGCATACCTGGAAAAGGAAAAAAAAAATAAAAAAATAACACTGTATTTAAAGCATGAATTATTCACAAATTTAGATTCCCAATAATTTATACTTAATTTTTTTTAACAGTAAAAAAAGGACTTAGTGGTTTTCACTAATTAAAGAGTGTTTTATAATTTAATATTGTTTGCTATTTCTGCAATAAAAAAACCTGACCGACAGAAAGAACAACCCCCGTCCCCTAACTTCCTTTTTCAAATGTAAAATTTTAAGTAAAATTAGATAAAATATCAAAGCATGACAATACTAATATATACACATATTGAAGTTATTTCCATTAAGTTATCGAATGTAAATTCAAAATTTTTCGATAAATAATTTTTTTTGTTATTTTAACTGAATAAAGTATTTATTTTTAATGCTTGCCATTCACAATTTTCCTATTGAAATGCTCAAACAATAAAATTTCTAAATTAATTGTTTCTTAAATAGTGAAACAAATATGACATAGAAACAAGATATACCGATATAACATAGTGATATCCATATATACATAAATATATATATACATAAATATATATATACATATATATATATATATATATATATATATATATATATATATATATATATATATATATATATATATATATATATATATATATATATATATATAAATTCCTTGATTACGAGTCAAGGATCTGTTTAAGACGAGATTTTTTAGTAAATTTTTGAGAGAATTTAGGATATTCCATTTTTCCAGTTTAGTATTTTTATTTGTTGAATAGATAGGAATCACAGTATAAAACAGAAAAGCGCGAGACAATTGTTTTTTTAAAAGGTACTTTGAAGTTACCCGTTCCTCTTGTGTTAAGCAACAGTAGCGTATATATAACGGCTTTGTATGAACGAGAAATATATAAGTTTTAAATTTTTAGGAGACAGTAAGGAACTAGCTTTGTAGAGGATTTAAATGTTTTTTGATATGTTGATATTTAATATCTAAATGCGCTTTCCGTTGTGTTCTCATCAATAAGTATAAAAATAAATTTAGTTGCTTGGGTCCAATTAATTTCTTTAGAATCTATATTTAACAAAGATATATTGGGAGGGTATTTTTTTAAGGTTAGAATGAAAAAGGATGTATTTTGTTTTTTCTGTGTTTAGCGATCATTTGATTGATTTAAACTAATTTTTTTTTCAAGTTCAGTATTTATTCCAGCGGTGTGGAGTCGTTAAGAAAAGTAACTAATCCGACCCCAGTTGTTGAAATTTTTTGAGAACAACTCCGACTCCAATTCCAACTCCGACTACAACTCCAAAACAAAATTTTTGAAAAATTCTTTGATTTCATTACCAAATAATACACAAAAAAAAAAAAAAAAATTTTTTGACAAATTTATGAAACGTTCTTTGAGGTTTAATATGAACATAAAGTTAATTGAATGTTTTGTTCATGCACGTGCAACATATAGAAGTTTTACTATTGGAGTCGGAGTCGCGATTTTATTTAGCGACTCCGACTCCGCTAAAAATGTTGCAACTACGCCGCTCCGACTCAGACTCCACAGCCCTGGTAGTTTCATAAAGTTCTGCTACAGATAAGGGTGCATAAAATTAAATCATAAAACTAATATCATCTGCAAACATTATGACATCTAGTTTACTTGAGGCTTTAGGGAGATCAATAATGTATATTAAAAATAAGAGAGGCGCAAGAATGGAAACTTAGGGGACACCGCATTTTATTTTAAGTAATTTTGAGTATTTTTTTTTTCATGAGAAATTACGGCGACGGGGAAGAGGGGATCGGCGAGGGGAACAAGGCTTCTTCTTTCTAAATCTTAAAATAACATAATAAATCTAACATAAGATATAACAATAAAATTCAAACTCCTCTTCTCCCCCCCCCCACCCTTGTATATAAAATAGAAAAACCGGCGCCGAGATCCTTGTTGGAAAACTGACTTGTCATTAGTAACCAAAAAAATCATATTCTTTATTTAATATAAATATTATTTCTAAATGCATTAAATGTTACGAATACATAAAGATATTAAACAAAAATATATGACTTTTATAAGAGAGCAAACTAAGCAATCACAAACAACAAAACTTTTCATTAGCTGATTAAGATCACATGCAGGTTTCTCAATATGGACGAGCCAGTTGATAAGTTGCATCTACATCAGGTTAAAAAAAATTAAAATTAAACAACAATTAAACATTGTTATTTAGTAACAAATCAAAAATAATGCTACAATATGCGCACTGAAAACACCATGAAATAATTTCTTTAACATAAAAATAACTTTATTTAAAAGGTTATAAAAAATGTTATAAAAGACCAACGTTTGCGTATGTTATCAATAAAAGTAGGTAAAATGCGTCAACCCTTTAATTATAGGAGTAAACTAATATTTGCACTTGCCTGAGTTAACAGTAACTACTTCTGTGAAAAATAAAACAGCACCAAGAGCATACAAATATTTTTAATTAATGTAAGTCTAGTAGACTTAGACTAATGCTCTTTAAAATTTTTGGCTGAATACTAAAATCTCTTATTAATTCTTATGAAACTCTTATAAAATGTTTTCATCAATTAATACCGAGTAATAAATTACCTAAAAAAGCATTGTCATCACATAAAATTTTTTCCAAATGATCAGTTGTGCTGAAATAAAGATAAGTACAAAACATTTTGAAATAAAAATTGTAAATAAAATGTCTTTAGCCTTGAACCATTGTGTATGTAAATTGATTGAACAATGCAGCTGTAACAATTTCACCAGTAAAAATTTATTTATGAAATTGTAGGTAGTAGAGTTAGGGCCAGGGTTAAAATGGGTTAATATACCGAAATGTAAAATTGTCAAAAAATATGTTAGGTCAGGATCACTAATATCACCCTGCTACTAGTAACATGTCTTACTGCCTTTTAGACATACCTTCTATGTATTATTGTGTTTTCCTATGTACGTTTGTTTTATTTGTCTCTGGTGCGGTTGGTTCACTGGTAAGTCACTATATATATGTATATTAGAATGTTGACTTTTCAGTAAATTTTTGGAATCTCCAGTTTCCTGTATAAAAAACCGGTGAGCTTTGGTTTGAAAGTAACTGAAAAGTCATTAGTTTTATTTACTTTTTAAAAAAAGCCGCCCACCATGACCCTAGAATACACGCTGGGTCCCATATATTAATGAATTTTTTTTTTCTTCAAAAGTATAACAAATTGGGTCACAAAAAAATTTTAAAGTGATTTCAAAATTAATAATCTTTTCTATTGAAACTTCTTTTAAAAAAAAAATTGCAAACAAAATGTCATAAAAAACGACCTTTTCAACTTTTAGTTAAAACTTGTTTTTTTTTTTTAATATAAAATTTAAACAATTCATTGACCGTTATTGTTTCTGAAATCTCTATGAAATTCTGGTCTTTTGAGACCCAGGTTGATATACTTATGAAGATATACTATGTTATCCAAATAACTCTAATCATTTACCTTTACTCATTGATTTGTGTATCGTTTCTGTGCCTAATTTGTGTTCAGTTTCTCATTGTTCTCCTTTGGGTGGTTAAACATTAGACATTGCAGAAAAACTTTACTCTTTTTTAATAACGAGACGTGGAAGAAAAAAACCACACACAAATGCTTTGATGTAACAATGGGTAGTTACAATGGAGCAGAAATTTGCAAATTTGTAAGCTTATATATTTTAACTTTCCTAGCTAAAAAAGTTCATTTTAATCAGGCTTTAGGCTTGTATCACGATGATGGTTTAACAATAATGAAAAAAAAAAATCAGGGCCTCAGCTTGACAAAATTATCATTTTCTTGATGTCATATTTAACCTCTCAGAAAATTCATATAGGTCTTATAAAAAACTTAATGATGAATTCATCATTAAGTTTTTTATAAGACCTAAATGACTAAAATCATCCCCCTATACCTAAATATACTAAAATCATCCCCCTTAAATCTTAAAAAAAAATCCTATTTCAATTAACAATAGACTAAATTAAAACTCTTCTAATGAAAATATTTTTAACTCTTCAATACGCGTGAAGATGCTCTTAAAAAGAGATGCTCTTAAAAAATTAGAAATGAAGAAGCTCTTAAAAAAAGCTGATTTAAAAATTTTGAGCTAAAATTCAAAACAAAAATTGCAAAAAAGAAAAATAGAAATGGAAATGTAATTTGGTTTAACCTTCTGTACAGCAAAAATGTTTCAACAAATATTCAACAAGTGTTTTTAAAATTACTTGACAAAAAATTTCCCTCCCTCTAATAAATAACACTAAATTTTTAACAGAAACACTATTAAGGTAAGCTATAGCTGAACAAAAAATATTGAAAGAGTTATAAAAGGACATAATTTTGCATTGATTTATAAAAATAAATTTCTTAAAAATAAAAATACTGAAAATTGTAACTGATAGCAAAAAATTGACTGCCCTATGAATGACAAAAGCGTATCAAAAGATATTATTTACAAATGCATTGTTTCCTCCAAAAACAACCCAGACAAACAATATATTGGCTTAACTGAGAGGCGAATGGAAAAAACGTTATGCCAACCACAAACAATCTTTTAAACATATAAAATACTCAAAAAAGACTATGCTGTCAAAAAATATTTGGCAACTAAAAGAAAAAAATATTAATTTAAAATTAAACTGGTCTGTTCTAAAAACTGCGCCTGCCTATAATAACATTTCCAAAAAATGTATACTTTATTTACAAGAAAAATTTGAAATAATTACTTATTTAGATCAAGAAAATTTACTGAAAAAAAAATCTGAATTAATTTTTAAATGCGGACAAAAAAATAAGTTCCTTTTAAAACATTATAAAAACAAATGACAAGTCTAAAATTATCCTAATTCTGAAGAATTCTTTTTATGATTGTTTAATTATCTAATGTAGATTGATGCAACTTCCTGGTTGCCAAAAATACTACGGTTATTACATAATTATTTATATAACAATTCCCAACTTACTGTGAAATAACTTTTTTATAATATGAATTTTTTGAAGTTTAGACATTCTTCCTGATGAACATATATATACATATATTTTAAATAAACATTAATAACATTAATATCAACATACTCTCAAAATATCATAAAATTTGATACTTAACAAGTAAATCCATATATGTATATAAATATATATATATATATATATATATATATATATATATATATATATATATATATATATATGTATATATATATATATATATATATATATATATATATATATGTATATATATATATATAAATATATATATATATATATATATATATATATATATATATATATATATATATATATATATATATATAATATATATATATATATATATATATATATATATATATATATATATATATATATAATGAATGTACAAATCAGTTGTGTAGATTTATTAATAAAGCTACAGAATTAATAAGTTTATAATAAATGCTTGTCATTAATTGCATTGTCAACAAAATATTACTTACAATACAACAACTGTTATAGTATTATTAATACAATAACAGTTATTCTATTGTCAATAATTATTGTGAATATTTTTATTTTTAACAATAAATGTAACAATAATATGTAATAAAACAATACTAATATCGTTTAACTATAATTGTAACACAATAATTAGGATGCAAAGTTTTATTTACCTATTGAATGTTTAATAAAAAATAATATCTTTTCATTTTAATGTTATGCTTTCTTAAAAAAATACTAACTATAAATTAAAAAATAGCAAAACAAGCAATATTAAAATCAAAGGTAAATAATTAACAGGAATGTCTCCCTATTTTGATTGGACAAAATAATTAACAGAAATGTCTCCCTAATTTGATTGGACAAAATATGTGTCTCACGCGGTCCTTATCTCTAAAATTATATTTTTAATATATCATATACGTAATCCATATATATCATATACAAGTCACTAAGTCCGGCAAACGAGAAAATTGTTTTACGGACTTTGAAAACAATTTTTTTCCATCCAATCGAAATAGGGAGACTTTACTGTATTTAGACGCTCGTGTAATACGGGTTAGTAGTAAATAAAGAATTACTAACAATTTGATCTTTATTTACTTTCTCTCATGAAATAATAATTGATTTATTCATTTTTTTAGTTGAGCTTACTTTTATTTTTCTTGACTTCTTAGTTTAAGGGAACTTTTAGCTTCAATAAAGATAAAGTTAACCATTTCTTTTGCAATGTTCAGACATTGAATGCTCAAATCACAACCATGTAGTAGTTAAAAATGACTTGAATTCTATGCACAGATCATCGATGTCAAATTTTCAAATTCCGTAAAATTGTTTAGCTAAATATTGGGATCATATATTCTACTCTCAATTTTGCTTTAAGCTGAGTCGTTTCTTTTTTTTTTGAAACTTTTCATTTTACTGAGTGAAGAGCTTAAAAATATGTCACTATCGCACCTAAACTTTTCAATGTTATTAATATACTTTTTAAATATTTTTAAAACATCTAAAATATTACACCCAAACTTGTAGGCATAGAAGTTGGTTATCTGGAAAAACTATAGGTTGAAAAATATATTGCAATTTCGAAAAGGGCTTAGCCCTGCATACGGATCCTATATTATTATGATAAAGATTATTATTAAACCAACCTTTTTTTTAATAAGTAATCCAGCAGAAACTTTTTTATAAAAAAACAATAAAGGAATATATGGATTTACTTTAATAGCTAACGTGTATCAACATATTTATTTCAGCATACATCCAATCCATATTTATACTAATTTTATAAAATGTCCGGAATACATTTTGCCTTAACTTGGCGTTAAATTATTAGTTTTATTTTATTAATTTTTGTTTAGATCAGGTTAATAATAAAAGCAATTGGATTTTACTCAATATTGTTGAAGTAATTATTCAGCTTTAATAAAATTGATAAAATCATATAAGACAGTTAAAAGATATATTTAAACCTTTGTTCACTTTTTGAAAATCCGTAAAAAAGCAAGTATCAAGTTTACATATCTTTAAAAGAAATTTATTCACATGATATATAGTTAAATATGTAACAAAAATATGTATATGATGTCATGATATATAGTTAAATATGTAACAAAAACAGAAGCATATATAAAACACATTTTTAAAAAAAAAAACAAAGTTGAAGCCACCATTTACAGCACCGAGGAGCCAAACATAGCCTATTGTAAAGAAAACCATATCAAATAATTTCAAATATTTATTACCGATAGGGACGACAATTAAACATATTTAAAAAGCTACGTGATTCCATATTAGTAGGATTGTTATAGAAAATTATATTAAAAAAGTATATTTAAAAAGTATATTTAAAAAGTATATTTAAAAAAAAGTGTATTAAATAGAAAACAGATTTTTAAAAACTACCTAATTTTGTAAGCATTTTGCCAATGGTGTTCAAGTTTGAAACCAATACCATTAATCGAAAGCCGACTTATTTAACTAATCTCATTTAAAGAATAAAATTGTTATTTACTTAAAGATAAAGAAAAAAAAAATGAATGAGATATAAACAATCGTACTATAGTATAATGAAGATAAGTAGATATATATGAAAAAAACAACAACAACTGGATAACAGTATACCTGCTTTTGGTAACCTATTGTAATACTGCAGCAGTTGCTTTAGGGATGCAGCTGTTCTTTTTGGTGTTGTTCAAAAACGTAATTTTTATGCTGGCTTTTAGTAAACTTCAGTTTAATTTAAAAGACATCACAACGGATTTAAAATACTCATAATAAAAAAAGCAAAACATAAAATGCTTAAGGAGCCAAACTATAAACGTAAATGATGAAGAATGGAATCGAGATAAATAAATTGTATTTATATAGCTAAATATATTGCCTTGGGTTTTGGTAAATTTTAAAAGCAGTGAGTTCAATAAATGAAACATACCAAATAACTGTTTTTAACAAAAGCAGTTATTTGGTATTTATTACCAAATAATTTGGTATTTATTACCAAATAAAATTCGTTTATTTGTACTGCAAATTCCAGTTGCAGTACAAATAAACGAATTCCTATTGACAAATATCTGATTCACTTCTGTATCTAATCAATAAAAGCACTTTAATGTTTAGATTTTTGGAATTTTAAAAAATCAAGTTCTTTAGCTTTATTTTATACTTTCTTTTAGATGAGTTGGAGCAAAAACTAAGTATAAATTATAATTAGTTTAGTTTAATAAATAAAGCATTAATATTTAGAAGATTTAAAGTTTACTTTAGTTTATAGTTTTGGTTTAGTTTATAGTTTTGTTTTTAGCTTTTGTAATTTTTTTCTAACTTAAGACAACTTTATGGATGAAATGAGGGGAATGGGTAAAACAATTATTTAGATATGTATATATTTATATGTTAACATTATTTTATCGATTATTTTATATTTATTTAAGTATATATTTGTCTTTAGTGTCTGGTGGAAGTATAGCTGGTAGGGCTGTGTTTTATATTTTATATGTTTTGTACGGAGAAATATGTGCAATAGGTGGAAAATTGAATTAATAATCATGATACTTTTGAACTGGTTGCATTATTGCCCTTTATATTTATAAAAATTCAAAATGTTGCAAGTTTAACCCTTTTTAATTTGCTCTCTCTCTTTTTTTTTTAGCATCTTCTGTTTTAAATGAAAATATGCTAATTTTTTTTTAAATTGCAAATGTATAATTTTTATTATATTCTTCTATTTGTAACTTTAGATTCCTTATCATTCGAAGAATATAAAATTTACCGCTCCCAACACCCGGGACCTCTCTTAGAGAGGTCCTTCAACAAATGGAAAGATAATGGCGGAATGGATGAGCCCTCCTTCAAATGGAGGACTCATCCATACCGGGGTGTTGGG